CAATCATCTGTTGTTATGGTTATAAACAGCCTCCTGGTACTTCGGAGCTCATTAACTGTTTAATAATTGTAAACAAAGCCGCCAAAGTTTGAGAAAAGATGTACAGGTTCGTAAAGTGCTTGCGTAACTGCTTCGTGAATCTGGCCCCTGGCAGGTATCTATGGTATCTATGGTATCTGACCTGTCTTCTTAATTCTTCTTAGAGAGTGGTGATCCATCTATCGCAGCCTTACCACCCTCGGAGGCGAACGGGTGTCGTCACTGTTACACTGTATCTTACATTGTATCTTACACTGTACTGCATAGTGTTCTTCACGTAATTTCTTTTACCCAACTTTGTTTAGCCTTCTTGCAAGACTTTCTTTCACCACTTACTGCGTTACTGGGGTGTTGAGCTACCTCGGGTGTCACCCCAGTAACACAAGTCATTCTTCTGTCTCCTCCCCCCCCACCCAGCCACTTGGGCTGGACGGTAGAGCGACGGTCTCGCTTCATGCAGGTCGGCGTTCAATCCCCGACCGTCCAAGTGGTTGGGCACCATTCCTCTCCCCCCTTCCCATCCCAAATCCTTATCCTGACCCCTTCCCAGTGCTATATAATCGTAATGACTTGGCGCTTTCCCCCTGATAGTTCCCTTCCCCCCCCCCCCCGTAACACAATCCACTGGAGAGTCATCGAAGCTAAAGCCAATTAGTTCATTGTATAACCCCCCAAAACATCCATAACTTTTACGTAAATGTTATCCGTCAACTTGATCTTGCATCAGCGTGACCTCACGTGGATTATCCTACAGCATGACCTTGCAAGAGCGTGTGACTTGGCCTACCCTGCAACTTGACCTTGTACTAGTGTGACCTCATTTGGATTATGGCATGCAGTCCAAGCCACCGCCCCAGAGTGCTGCTGAATGTCCACACAATATTACCCGGAGGTCGTCCAGTTAAGGCATGATCTACAGCTAATCCCCAGCTTTAGAAATCGTCCTTACGAAGATGAATTGACGCCTCTCAGGTTTCACTACCTAGAGGGGCGGAGATGGCGCGAGGAGATATGACTGAACCCAACAAGAGGATGATAGGCCTTAACAAAGGGAATGCAAATAGGGTGATGAAAGTATCAAATCAAGTCAGAACTCATGACAATGGGTTTCAAATTGTACTAATTCGAAAAAAATAAAGAGATATAAGCAAGAATTGGTTTGTCAATGGAGATGTGCATGGATGGAAGGACCTGCCAAGCATTGTTATCGAAGCCAAGCACTCTTGGGAGCTTATTTAGGAGACTGGCTTGACACTCAGGGATAATTGAGTGTGAACTTTTAAGCTCCGGAATGGAACTATATGGATCTGTACCAGTGATGTGGTGTTGGTGGGGTGTTGGTGGGGTGTTGGTGAGGTGTTGGTGAGGTGTTGGTGAGGTGTTGGTGTGGTGTTGGTGTGGTGTTGGTGAGGTGTTGGTGTGGTGTTGGTGTGGTGTTGGTGTGGTGTTGGTGTGGTGTTGGTGAGGTGTTGGTGAGGTGTTGGTGTGGTGTTGGTGTGGTGTTGGTGTGGTGTTGGTGTGGTGTTGGTGTGGTGTTGGTGTGGTGTTGGTGTGGTGAGGTGTTGGTGAGGTGTTGGTGAGGTGTTGGTGTGGTGTTGGTGTGGTGTTGGTGTGGTGTTGGTGTGGTGTTGGTGTGGTGTTGGTGTGGTGTTGGTGAGGTGTTGGTGAGGTGTTGGTGAGGTGTTGGTGAGGTGTGGGTGAGGTGTTGGTGAGGTGTTGGTGAGGTGTTGGTGAGGTGTTGGTGAGGTGTTGGTGAGGTGTTGGTGTGGTGTTGGTGTGGTGTTGGTGAGGTGTTGGTGAGGTGTTGGTGTGGTGTTGGTGTGGTGTTGGTGAGGTGTTGGTGAGGTGTTGGTGAGGTGTTGGTGTGGTGTTGGTGAGGTGTTGGTGTGGTGTTGGTGAGGTGTTGGTGTGGTGTTGGTGAGGTGTTGGTGTGGTGTTGGTGAGGTGTTGGTGTGGTGTTGGTGAGGTGTTGGTGTGGTGTTGGTGAGGTGTTGGTGTGGTGTTGGTGAGGTGTTGGTGTGGTGTTGGTGTGGTGTTGGTGTGGTGTTGGTGTGGTGTTGGTGTGGTGTTGGTGAGGTGTTGGTGTGGTGTTGGTGTGGTGTTGGTGTGGTGTTGGTGAGGTGTTGGTGTGGTGTTGGTGTGGTGTTGGTGTGGTGTTGGTGAGGTGTTGGTGTGGTGTTGGTGTGGTGTTGGTGTGGTGTTGGTGTGGTGTTGGTGTGGTGTTGGTGTGGTGTGGGTGAGGTGTGGGTGAGGTGTGGGTGAGGTGTGGGTGTGGTGTGGGTGTGGTGTGGGTGAGGTGTGGGTGAGGTGTGGGTGTGGTGTGGGTGTGGTGTGGGTGAGGTGTGGGTGTGGTGTGGGTGTGTTCCTACTCAACAGCACCGCCCACTCACTCCAGCTGGTGACTCACACCTTAATTAACCTCCTGCTAACCACCTGGACAAGCCCTCACCCTCTCTCACCACCTGGGCCACCTCGCCCCCGCCCTCTCTCACCACCTGGGCCACCTCGCCCCCGCCCTCTCTCACCACCTGGGCCACCTCGCCCCCGTCCTCTCTCACCACCTGGGCCACCTCGCCCCCGCCCTCTCTCACCACCTGGGCCACCTCGCCCCCGCCCTCTCTCACCACCTGGGCCACCTCGCCCTCACCCTCTCTCACCACCTGGGCCACCTCGCCCCCACCCTCTCCCCACCTGGGCCACCTCGCCCTCACCCTCTCTCACCACCTGGGCCACCTCGCTCCCGCCCTCTCACCACCTGGGCCACCTCGCCCCCGCCCTCTCACCACCTGGGCCACCTCGCCCCCGCCCTCTCACCACCTGGGCCACCTCGCCCCCGCCCTCTCACCACCTGGGCCACCTCGCCCCCGCCCTCTCACCACCTGGGCCACCTCGCCCCCGCCCTCTCACCACCTGGGCCACCTCGCCCCCGCCCTCTCACCACCTGGGCCACCTCGCCCCCGCCCTCTCACCACCTGGGCCACCTCGCCCCCGCCCTCTCACCACCTGGGCCACCTCGCCCCCGCCCTCTCACCACCTGGGCCACCTCGCCCCCGCCCTCTCACCACCTGGGCCACCTCGCCCCCGCCCTCTCACCACCTGGGCCACCTCGCCCCCGCCCTCTCACCACCTGGGCCACCTCGCCCCCGCCCTCTCACCACCTGGGCCACCTCGCCCCCGCCCTCTCACCACCTGGGCCACCTCGCCCCCGCCCTCTCACCACCTGGGCCACCTCGCCCCCGCCCTCTCACCACCTGGGCCACCTCGCCCCCGCCCTCTCACCACCTGGGCCACCTCGCCCCCGCCCTCTCACCACCTGGGCCACCTCGACCCCGCCCTCTCACCACCTGGGCCACCTCGCCCCCGCCCTCTCACCACCTGGGCCACCTCGCCCCCGCCCTCTCACCACCTGGGCCACCCCCACCCCCACCCTAATAACGCGCCCTCTTCTTGATGATTGATGAAGATTAAGCCACCCAAGAGGTGGCACGGGCATGAATAGCCCGTAAGCCGTCTTCCTATCCAAGCCTCCTCCAACCTCCTCCTCCTCCACACCCCCACTCCATCTACTACCCACTACAGCCCTTCCCCATCCCACCAATCTGGTGTCCGACGCTCCTGGGATAGTGGGCGCTATCCTGCCATGCTCTCGCTATGCCTACTCAGCACATCTCGGAACAAGGCGTTTGTTGTATGCTCGTCTGAGGCGCAGTCGAGGACCTCCTTCCATAAGGAGAGCAGCGCGAGCCCTCACCCTCCACACACACTCACCCTAGCTGCTACGTGGCCCAGTGAATCATATATTTTGTTAATAAAGAAGAAAAAGGCCGCAGGTGTTTGGTACTTCATTCCTTCCCACTACCAAGAGACCTACAACACGGGCTCACCATAGCCCGTGCTGCTTGGAACTTTTTGTTCCAAGTAGCGAATCTTAAACAACAACAGACTTACAACCAACAACCATTAATACTCGCCTTTTCCCCCCGACCTCGCCCCCCCACCAGACCTTCCACCTAATCAACCCCACCACCAACCCCCTTCCCCACCAAGCCCCTCCCCTCTTCCCCAAGCCAGGTCGACCCCCCCGCCCCCCACCCAGAAGAGTCTGGGCGTGGGGCCAGCTGCTACGCCCACACCACCTGACCCCCGCGCGACCCTCATCCCTGTTTCAGTCGATCCTTGTCTGGAGGCCGACGTCCACACTCGTCCCCTCCCTATCCCCCCCCCTCTCCACTATCTAACCCCATCAGTCTGTGCTCGAACCCAAACTGTCGTCGGTGTTCTAAAACAGGGCGGGGAATAATTACCGCCTAGAGAAGGTGGCGGGAAGAGAGGCCCCTACGACACCCTGACGGAGGGGAAACAGGGGGGCAGGTTGACCCCTGGTGTCCGGACAGGCGCGGGGTCGCGCCAGGGGGCGCCAACCAAACTGGTATTCTCTCTCGCCCTCAACCAAAATATTATCCGCCTTTTGGGAGCACTTTCGATGGTTAACTAATAATGGGACGTAAGCAAATGAGAGATATAATTGGTTGACTGGCTTGGTGGTTGTTGTACTGGCTTGGTGGTTGTTGTACTGGCTTCGTGGTTGTTGTACTGGCTTCGTGGTTGTTGTACTGGCTTGGTGGTTGTTGTACTGGCTTCGTGGTTGTTGTACTGGCTTGGTGGTTGTTGTACTGGCTTGGTGGGTGGTGCACTAGCTTGGTGTGTGCACTAGCTTGGTGGGTGGTGCACTGGCTTGGTGGGTGGTGCACTGGCTTGGTGGGTGGTGCACTGGCTTGGTGGGTGGTGCACTGGCTTGGTGGGTGGTGCACTGGCTTGGTGGGTGGTGCACTGGCTTGGTGTGTGCACTAGCTTGGTGGGTGGTGCCATAAGAGCAGGTGCCATATGAGCTCGTGTCATACGCGCACGTACCATACGTGCAAGTGCCACATGTGCTGGTGCCATACGTACTCGGGTCATACGTGAAGGTGCATATGTGCTGGTGTCATACGTGCAGGTGCCATACGTGCAAGTGCCATACGAACTGGTGCAATACGTGCAGGTGCCATACGAACTGGTGCAATACGTGCAGGTGCCATACGAACTGGTGCAATACGTGCAGGTGCCATACGAACTGGTGCAATACGTGCAGGTGCCATACGAACTGGTGCAATACGTGCAGGTGCCATACGAACTGGTGCAATACGTGCAGGTGCCATACGTTCTGGTGCAATACGTGCAGGTGCCATACGAACTGGTGCAATACGTGCAGGTGCCATACGAACTGGTGCAATACGTGCAGGTGCCATACGAACTGGTACAATACATGCAAGTGCCATACGAACTGGTGCAATACGTGCAGGTGCCATACGAACTGGTGCAATACGTGCAGGTGCCATACGAACTGGTGCAATACGTGCAGGTGCCATACGAACTGGTGCAATACGTGCAGGTGCCATACGAACTGGTGCAATACGTGCAGGTGCCATAAGAGTTGTTGTCATACATGCAGATGCCATACGTGCTGGTGCCATACGTGCTGGTGTCATACGTGCTGGTGCCATACGTGCTAGTGCCATACGTGCTAGTGCCATACGTGCTGGTGCCATACGTGCTGGTGCCATACGTGCTAGTGCCATACGTGCTGGTGCCATACGTGCTAGTGCCATACGTGCTGGTGCCATACGTGCTAGTGCCATACGTGCTGGTGCCATACGTGCTGGTGCCATACGTGCTAGTGCCATACGTGCTGGTGCCATACGTGCTGGTGCCATACGTGCTGGTGCCATACGTGCTAGTGCCATACGTGCTGGTGCCATACGTGCTAGTGCCATACGTGCTGGTGCCTAGCTGGGATCGGTTTAAAATGCCAACCATTCCAATTCGTTCCAGGAAACAGGTTTAGGTTGCCCTCCTCACATCACACCTGTTGGGTCCCCCCGCCCGCTCCCCCTTCCTACACCCTCACCCCATTTGGGTCCGCCGCCCCCCCTCCCACACCCACACCCCATGATGAGTCCCCCCACCCACTCCTTATTTTTGTCGGCTCAGTGAGGGGTGAGTGTGGGGTGAGCACAGTTGAGGTCGGGTGATTTCAGTGAGCATTGTGTTAGCTGAGTGAGGATGGGTAGTGAGCTGCGTGAGCTGAATACTACAGCTGCCTCTCCCAAACTAGGTACGACTGAGTACTCCGTGTACTAAGTACTCTCGCGGCTTGTGCACTTACTGCAACAAATGGTGATCAGTACAAACAGTTTATAGGGCTTTGGATAAACTGAGTACAGCCGTTGTTTATAGTACTCGGCTGGCAGACTCAACTGTGAAGAGTACATCATATATACTCATCGTTTCATTTTAGAAACTTTTATATTTCCTATCCATAAGAAAACCAGATCCTACAATCAAGTTGGATCTTCTCATCTCCTCCATCCCCCCATCCTTCTGCTCCTCCTCTATCTCCTGCTTCTTCTCCTCCTCCTCCTGCTCCTCCTCCTCCTCCTCCATGACCTGCCATTGCCCTTTACCCCCGCTTGCCTCACCTTCCTCCATCTCTCCCAAACTCTTTACCTACACCTGCCCTCCTCCAGAGACCTCCCCAGAGTGGTTGCTGGTGACCCCTGACCCCAGCCTGGTCAACTCACGCCCTGGGGACTCGACTCTCTTCTCACCAGTGTGGATACCTGCCACCATTATCACTGCTAGACAAAAGCTGCCACCATTATCACTGCTAGACAAAAACTGCCACCATTATCACTGCTAGACAAAAGCTGCCACCATTATCACTGCTAGACAAAAGCTGCCACCATTATCACTGCTAGACAAAAGCTGACACCATTATCACTGCTAGACAAAAGCTGCCACCATTATCACTGCTAGACAAAAGCTGCCACCATTATCACTGCTAGACAAAAGCTGCCACCATTATCACTGCTAGACAAAAGCTGACACCATTATCACTGCTAGACAAAAGCTGCCACCATTATCACTGCTAGACAAAAGCTGCCACCATTATCACTGCTAGACAAAAGCTGCCACCATTATCACTGCTAGACAAAAGCTGCCACCATTATCACTGCTAGACAAAAGCTGCCACCATTATCACTGCTAGACAAAAGCTGCCACCATTATCACTGCTAGACAAAAGCTGCCACCATTATCACTGCTAGACAAAAGCTGCCACCATTATCACTGCTAGACAAAAGCTGCCACCATTATCACTGCTAGACAAAAGCTGCCACCATTATCACTGCTAGACAAAAGCTGCCACCATTATCACTGCTAGACAAAAGCTGCCACCATTATCACTGCTAAACAAAAGCTGCCACCATTATCGCTGCTAGACAAAAGCTGCCACCATTATCACTGCTAGACAAAAGCTGCCACCATTATCACTGCTAGACAAAAGCTGCCACCATTATCACTGCTAGACAAAAGCTGCCACCATTATCACTGCTAAACAAAAGCTGCCACCATTATCACTGCTAGACAAAAGCTGCCACCATTATCACTGCTAGACAAAAGCTGCCACCATTATCACTGCTAGACAAAAGCTGCCACCATTATCACTGCTAGACAAAAGCTGACACCATTATCACTGCTAGACAAAAGCTGCCACCATTATCACTGCTAGACAAAAGCTGACACCATTATCACTGCTAAACAAAAGCTACCACTATATGCAACACCACAAATCAGCTACCACTATAAACACAACCAAACAAAAGCTACCACAATAAACACTACCAAACAAAAGCTACCACTATAAACACTGCTAAATAAAAGTTACCACAATAAACACTACCAAACAAAAGCTACCACAATGAACACTACCAAACAAAAGCTACCACAATAAACACTACCAAACAAAAGCTGCCACTATAAACACTGCTAAATAAAAGCTACCACTATAAACACTACTAAATAAAAGCTACCACTATAAACACTACCAAACAAAAGCTACCACTATAAACACTACCAAACAAAAGCTACCACTATAAACACTGCTAAACAAAAGCTACCACCATAAACACTGCTAAACAAAAGCTACCACTATAAACACTACTAAACAAAAGCTGCCACTTGTAATGACCACAGCATATACCACTTACGACTGTGGTCAATACTGTCAATGTACATTTCTTTCCATTATTTATCATTTGACTTTTGACCATTTATATTGTCATTATAAATAAATAATAAATCATATAAATACACAAATTTATATGTCATTATTTACACGCGTCTGCTACTATGTTGTTCTTTTGTTTTGTATTATTATGATGCTTTTTTTGGCGGGTTGGCGAAGCTATTATTATTACTCTAGGATTACGAGTCCCGACCGCTGGCCACTCAGCCACCAGGCCCCCCTACCAGGTGTGTGTGTGTATCAGTATAGCCTATCTTGTGAGGTTGGTAAACGTCTTGTTATGTATACATTCACGTGTGTACACACGTGTTGTCGAGGTGTGTACACACGTGTTGTCGAGGTGTGTACACACGTGTTGTCGAGGTGTGTACACACGTGTTGTCGAGGTGTGTACACACGTGTTGTCGAGGTGTGTACACACGTGTTGTCGAGGTGTGTACACACGTGTTGTCGAGGTGTGTACACACGTGTTGTCGAGGTGTGTACACACGTGTTGTCGAGGTGTGTACACACGTGTTGTCGAGGTGTGTACACACGTGTTGTCGAGGTGTGTACACACGTGTTGTCGAGGTGTGTACACACGTGTTGTCGAGGTGTGTACACACGTGTTGTCGAGGTGTGTACACACGTGTTGTCGAGCTGTGTACACACGTGTTGTCGAGCTGTGTACACACGTGTTGTCGAGCTGTGTACACACGTGTTGTCGAGCTGTGTACACACGTGTTGTCGAGCTGTGTACACACGTGTTGTCGAGCTGTGTACACACGTGTTGTCGAGCTGTGTACACACGTGTTGTCGAGCTGTGTACACACGTGTTGTCGAGCTGTGTACACACGTGTTGTCGAGCTGTGTACACACGTGTTGTCGAGCTGTGTACACACGTGTTGTCGAGCTGTGTACACACGTGTTGTCGAGCTGTGTACACACGTGTTGTCGAGCTGTGTACACACGTGTTGTCGAGCTGTGTACACACGTGTTGTCGAGCTGTGTACACACGTGTTGTCGAGCTGTGTACACACGTGTTGTCGAGCTGTGTACACACGTGTTGTCGAGCTGTGTACACACGTGTTGTCGAGCTGTGTACACACGTGTTGTCGAGCTGTGTACACACGTGTTGTCGAGCTGTGTACACACGTGTTGTCGAGCTGTGTACACACGTGTTGTCGAGCTGTGTACACACGTGTTGTCGAGCTGTGTACACACGTGTTGTGGAGCTGTGTACACACGTGTTGTGGAGCTGTGTACACACGTGTTGTGGAGCTGTGTACACACGTGTTGTGGAGCTGTGTACACACGTGTTGTGGAGCTGTGTACACACGTGTTGTGGAGCTGTGTACACACGTGTTGTGGAGCTGTGTACACACGTGTTGTGGAGCTGTGTACACACGTGTTGTGGAGCTGTGTACACACGTGTTGTGGAGCTGTGTACACACGTGTTGTGGAGCTGTGTACACACGTGTTGTGGAGCTGTGTACACACGTGTTGTGGAGCTGTGTACACACGTGTTGTGGAGCTGTGTACACACGTGTTGTGGAGCTGTGTACACACGTGTTGTGGAGCTGTGTACACACGTGTTGTGGAGCTGTGTACACACGTGTTGTGGAGCTGTGTACACACGTGTTGTGGAGCTGTGTACACACGTGTTGTGGAGCTGTGTACACACGTGTTGTGGAGCTGTGTACACACGTGTTGTGGAGCTGTGTACACACGTGTTGTGGAGCTGTGTACACACGTGTTGTGGAGCTGTGTACACACGTGTTGTGGAGCTGTGTACACACGTGTTGTGGAGCTGTGTACACACGTGTTGTGGAGCTGTGTACACACGTGTTGTGGAGCTGTGTACACACGTGTTGTGGAGCTGTGTACACACGTGTTGTGGAGCTGTGTACACACGTGTTGTGGAGCTGTGTACACACGTGTTGTGGAGGTGTGTACACACGTGTTGTGGAGCTGTGTACACACGTGTTGTGGAGCTGTGTACACACGTGTTGTGGAGCTGTGTACACACGTGTTGTGGAGCTGTGTACACACGTGTTGTGGAGCTGTGTACACACGTGTTGTGGAGCTGTGTACACACGTGTTGTGGAGCTGTGTACACACGTGTTGTGGAGCTGTGTACACACGTGTTGTGGAGCTGTGTACACACGTGTTGTGGAGCTGTGTACACACGTGTTGTGGAGCTGTGTACACACGTGTTGTGGAGCTGTGTACACACGTGTTGTGGAGCTGTGTACACACGTGTTGTGGAGCTGTGTACACACGTGTTGTGGAGGTGTGTACACACGTGTTGTGGAGCTGTGTACACACGTGTTGTGGAGCTGTGTACACACGTGTTGTGGAGCTGTGTACACACGTGTTGTGGAGCTGTGTACACACGTGTTGTGGAGCTGTGTACACACGTGTTGTGGAGCTGTGTACACACGTGTTGTGAAGCTGTACACACGTGTTGTGGAGCTGTACACACGTGTTGTGAAGCTGTACACACGTGTTGTGGAGCTGTACACACGTGTTGTGGAGCTGTACATATGTGTTGTGTGTGTGTGTGTGCTCCTGGGTTTCGTATATATAAACTGTTTCTATTGACTTCTTACTACATATAAGGAGGAGGATTGTTGTTTTTGAATAAGTTTATCATTGTATATTCACGAGTATATATATATATATATATATATATATATATGTCGTACCTAGTAGCCAGAACTCACTTCTCAGCTTACTATGCAAGGCCCGATTTGCCTAATAAGCCAAGTTTTCATGAATTAATTGTTTTTCGACAACCTAACCTACCTAACCTAACCTAACTTTTTCGGTTACCTAACCTAACCTAACCTATAAAAATAGGTTAGGTTAGGTTAGGTAAGGTTGGTTAGGTTCGGTCATATATCTACGTTAATTTTAACTCAAATAAAAAAAATTGACCTAATACATAATGAAATGGGTAGGTTTATCATTTCATAAGAAAAAAAATAGAGAAAATATATTGATTCAGGAAAACTTGGCTTATTAGGCAAATCGGGCCTTGCATAGTAGGCTGAGAAGTGAGTTCTGGCTACTAGGTACGACATTATATATATATATATATATATATATATATATATATATATATATATATATATATATATATATATATATATTATATATATATATATATATATATATATATAACATTGTTTATCAATGCACTCCCAAGCTCAGTAACTAGGAGGCCCAGCGACCACTACACCACAACTACCGTCACACCACCACCACCACTATCACCACCACTACACCACAACCACCACCACTACACCACAACTACCGTCACACCACCACCACCACTATCACTACCACTACACCACAACCACCACCACTACACCACTATCACCACTACTACACCACCACCACAACCAACACTGCTGACACG